AACACTTGCAGGACAATAATGTTTATCTCAACCATCTTAATGTTAAATCTTCGTTTTCAAGACGGTCCCGCATGCCTTCCTTCCTCCCCCCGCTCTCCCCCTCGAAGATAACGCCACATGCTCAGAAAGACCAACATTGGAACCGCACGCGTCCCAAACCATTCTGGCATGTTCACCCGCCCAATGCGATGCTCGTGGCCCCATAAGGAGCTCCACGGAAGGTTTCAATGGCACCGTTTGCGTGCGATTCCAAAACATCAAATTTGACATTTTTACCCGCCCGAAACAGCAACATATACAGCTACACATACGTATACATATACATATACACATGCATATACGCATACATACTCATTTACACATACTTATTCCAATACATATACATTTACATATCCGGAAACATCCAATTTTACATGTCTACCGACACAATACAGCATTTGGTGACCCACAAGGACCTCCACCGAATGCCCCAGCGCGCGACTGCTTGCACTCGGCCCGAAACATCCAATTTCACATTTTCCACCCACCTAAAGCAGCGTTTCGTGGCCCACAAAGAGTTCCACCGAAGGTCCCAGCGCCACTGCTCGCATGCGTCCCGAAACTTGCAATTTGGCATTTTCACTCGCCCAGTGCAGCGCTTCGTGGCCCCATAGCGAACTCCACCGACGGCTCCACTGCTGCCGCCCGCATGCGCTCCCCACGCCCAGTGGCGCTTCGTAGCCCCATAGGGAGGTCCACTGAAGGCCCGGTGCGACCGCCCGCATGCGTCTCCCCCACTCAATGTTTCGAGGTTCCATAGGAGCTCCACCCAAAGCCGCAAAACTACTGCCCGCATGCCCAACCCTCATTCAATACAGCGTTTCGTGGTCCCATAAGAACATGGGGCCGTCGTTGGATCTCCGCATGGGCCCGCCCACGAACCGCTATACTGGGTGGGACGACGCGAGGCGAGTCGTAGCATTGGCGCAGCGGTGGAGCTCCGTATAGGGCCACGAAACGCTGTATTGGGTAAGGGGACGCATGCGGGCGGTAGAACTGGAACTTTGGGTTGAGCTCCTGCTCGCATACGTCTCCCGCCCACTTGTAGGACTATGGGCCAGCAAGAACCATGCTTAATACAATTGTCGTTGCTACACAGCCATTGCACGAATGCTATTTAACATGCATTCCGCCCCACGTGACGAAAATAACATGATATTATGTTACCCAATCATCTTTACTTATATTATATCAACTTCGCCACATTTGGAACGCGCGCCTTGGCTCAGCGTTTCCTGGACTGCCTGGCGAACCCAACATTTCAAGGCAGGGCGAACGCAAAAAATAACAGATGCACGAGCAAACGACAAGCATCAGACTTTCATAGGTCTGCCTGGCAAGCTCGAAGGGTTCAAGAAGGGCGAAAATTCAAAACAATGTCGCAAACCATTATAACATTATCATCGCACATGTGCGCGATCGCCCGGCAATCCCGAGGCGTCAAGGCAGGACGAAAATCATCCGAAATATGCCTCCTCTCCGAAAAAAAGGACAACTCTTGTTCACGAGCCTTTAAATCGCGCTGAGCGGTGAAGATAAACATGCAAAATAGAAAAACTTACGCGTGGTTGCCCGCATGTTTTTCCCCACGAAGATGCAGATTGAATATTTCTGTGCCGCGCCGACGCAGAACCGCCTAACAAACCGGAGGCATCCCAAAACAGCAAACAGTTCTGCAAGCCATGAGAAACATGTGCACGATCGCCTGGCAAACCCGAGGCGTGAGAGCTAGGCGAAACCATCAGAAATACTGCATGTCTGTCTTACATAGTAGCATCATTTTTTGTTCACAAGCTTTGCGCTCTTACTGAATGGTGATGACAAAACATGCAGCATGCGGATGATTGAAGGATTTAAACATGGATAAGTGGGCAATGACATCATCACCTGCATTGTAATAGACGCACAAGAAAAGATGAAAAGTTCGAACAACAAATATATAAATGGACAGACCGATTGCAAATAATTGACATTAAGAGCGGGGAGAGTCCAAAAACGAAACATTTCTGCTACGATCGAGGGCGGCCGCCAAAAAAAACATGTAACCCGCCCGACGTGCCGTTACTGGTTTTGATCGCGATTTTGGTGTCGGCGTTTTCCGTTGGTTCGATAATTTTCCGGCGCAGCCCGTACGAACGGCTTGCAACGGCGAATTTCAATCTCGTCGGGCAAATTGTCGTCAAATTTTGTTTCCGTTGCGACAGGCGCGCGAGTAGCCAACAGAAACATACAATTCTTGATTTCTGGCTTGTCTTGATAAATGCTACTATTTTGTTCCATCATTAATGTTACCGCGGGCTATCTGGAGCAAACGGCGATTACTTGAAATTGCTGGAATTGCTTCTGAAACGGCAATAGCTAATCATTGAAGCGGTGGTTCTAATACTGAAGCGGATGTGTTGCTGAAGCCGCGGTTCTCCCTGGTTTCACTGCTGCCACCCCCCGGCGCCCTGCATCTCGCCCTCCGCCAGGACCAGCGGTTGTCCCAAAAACGCCCCCTTTCGATGAATGCGCACCTTGGACGAGAATTTCGGTGTCCTCGTCAAGACCGAACTCTTCTTCAAGGGACAACTGTCGAGATAACAACCAGGTCCACGAACGAAGGGTTGCATTTTTGTCATGAGCCGCTCGGGTAAGCGTGGGCCCGGTTCGGGCACGCAGCTTCCCCGAAACAGAAATTGAATGTAAGGGTAGGAATATGAAGACGCGTCTGAACCACCCGTACCATTTTCTCATACATTGCACTTTATCGCGGTATCTGGCTGCGAGACGGCATTTCGGGGAATCATATTTCCGCTATGTTTGAGAACGCGTGCTCATTCAAAATTGTACTTTGGATTGTACTATGGTTCCGTGAACCAGAGCTTGTTGGTAGACGACTTTGTTTATTTGTATCATCGATACCACTCATCAGATAGTTTTTACGCCCTGCGTCAATGACTCCAGGGTTTGCTTGAGAAAGCGTTTCGTCGCGCCTTGGTCAGTCGTTTGGAGGGAACAACACGTATATAAACACAACCATTTTTGTGCGCATGCGCAGTGGGCTCACGGCGGTGAGCACGCCCGAGCAATACTTGATTTGAGCCCAAGCCTTATGGAAAAGGGAAGGAGGGGAAAGGGGAGATGGCAACCATGCTTTTTTCAAGAGGTTTCAAGATTTCGGTGAGTTTGGCAGTGTTCTATTTTTACTAGCGGGGAGATGCAGAAATGATGAACACCGACAGAAACACAGAACCATTGCGACACTTTTCATCTATGTTTATGCGTATTCGTGCTTGCTTTCCCTATCTTCCAATGTAGCTGCCATGCCGATGCGCGCCGGACAAACCATGCCCGTTGGAAGTGCTGAGCTGATTCTGGCCGCGGTAGACGATGCACTGGAATCGTTGGAACCGCCGATAGTGCGATTGGCGAACTCGGGGGCGACGATTGGGGGAGAACGGCCCAGGGTTATGTCGGGCCTGTCCCCCTACGGGGGGATTTTCGACGAAAAATGAAAATTACGCAAAAAATACATCAAAAACAAAAAAAACATACTGAAAACATAGTCCCTAGACTACTGTTTGGATTAATTTTTGATTATTTTGGCAGTATTTTTTATTTTTCGTCGAAAATCCCCCTGTAGGGGGACAGGCCCGACTTAAGCCCAGGGGAGAGCAAGTTGCCTGCTTCCATGGGCGCCGATGGCTCCCGTCTCCGGCGAAGCTCCCCGGGCGAGTTACGTGTCATTGAAGGGGCCCCAGGACACACAAATAAATACACACAAATAAAAATATTCCCCATATTTTCTGGCTTTCTGTCTCCCCCCCCCACTTCCCATATTTTCCCATATGTTCTGGGGAATCGACGATTAAGTGTGTCTGCGTGTTTTTTCCCCTCCTGAGTTACGTGTAATGCTCGCCCCTGGGCTGGCTCGCCCCCGTCGCCGGCGAGCCCGCGTGCCCTTTCGGCGCGGGCTCGGGGCTCCGCCCGTGCGTGCGCCCGCCGTGCCGCCTGCGCCCTTTTCGCGCCGGCGAGACGCCGGTGGGCGGTGACGTCCGAGCCCTGCCCCCGCCGACCACAGGAGAGCCCAGGATCGGATCGACAAGTCGGGTCGGAAGTCGACACGAGTCGGATCGGCGGAAATCGGCAGCCGAGTCGGGACAAGTCGGATCGGCAGAAATCGGCAGGCCAATATGCCTCCAACAAGAAAGCGGAACCCAAGTCGGAATCCCAGGTCGAATCGAATCGGAATCGGAAGCCATCGAAATCGAGTCGAATCGAATCGGAGGAGTCGAAACGAGCCCTGCGACCATGGATCAACATGGATGCAGGAGGCAACTCCGTGTAGGTCTTCGTTGGAGTGATCGCAGGGCGACTGGAAGTCTATTCGGGGGCCACTTCGACGGATCAGACCAGCTCGAGCCCAGGATTACGCCGGATGTGGGGGTATCGAGCAGGATTCAGCTGGTTATCAACTGCGACAATGCCAGCGCCGATGCTGAATTTGACCTTCCAGGAATTGCATCCTAGATGGATGCTCCTGAGTCGAGGGAAGGCTGGTAGGGTTCGGGTTTCACCACGTCCTCGATGAATTCCGAACCCCACCCCCCGTCGCCCATCGAGTTGCCTGACTCGTTGATCGGCGAGGGTACAGCAGGTCCACGTCGCTATGACGTTGGCATTGGTTTCTGACACCGCGTGGATCGTTCAACCTGGAAAGACCACGGCTGTCTGACAGCGCAGAGCGTTCGATGCCGGCCGACTCCGCCAGGTCCATGGCGGCTTAGCTGCCCCGATGCGCAACACGCGACACGTAGCGTACTGATACGGAACTCAACACGTCGACTGAAAAACGGAGGTCTGACGCGATACGGTCGTCCAAACGTGGGCCAACACGCTGAGCCAACGAGAGAGACGTATTGATACGGACGTTTTGAACACAGTACGTGTTGCGTATCAAAACGGGCGCATCGAGGCAGCTAAGCGTGGCGGTATGCAACCTCCGACGCCCACGCTGGGATCGCCACTGAACAAACACGGCACGGTCCTACCGAGAGGCTCGGATTGCGCCGCCGAATGCGCCCGCCGCGCCGCCTGCGCCATTCCGCGCCGGCGAGACTACCAGGGCGCGCACCCCAGAAGCGCGCCGCGGCGCGGGCCAGCGGGGCACTGGCCAGCGGCCTGGGCGTGCTCAGAACACAGCGTTCAGCAGAGCCTGTCGGATGAGGAAGAGGGCGAGCGAGGAGGAAGAGGAACGAGGAGTAGGAGAAGAAAGTGGATTGAGGAGGAGGAGGAGGGCGAGCGAGGAGCGAGGAGGGCGAGCGAGGAGGGGGAGGAGAAACAAGGAGGAGGAGGAGGAGGAGGAGCAAGGAGGAGGAGGAGGAAGAGGAGTAAGAGGAGTGAGGAGGAGGAGGAGGAGGAGGAGGAGGAGCGAGGAGGGCGAGCGAGGAGGGGGAGGAGAAACAAGGAGGAGGATGAGGAGCAAGGAGGAGGATGAGGAGGAGGAGGAGGAAGAGGAGGAGGAGGAGCAAGGAGGAGGAGGAGGAGCAAGGAGGAGAAGCAAGGAGGAGGAGGAGGAGGAGGAGGAGCAAGGAGGAGGAGGAGGAGGAGCAAGGAGGAGGAGAAGGAGGAGGAGGAGGAGGAGGAGCAAGGAGGAGGAAGGAGGAGGAGCAAGGAGGAGGAGCAAGGAGGAGGAGCAAGGAGGAAGGCAATGAGCAAGGGGCAAGGAGGAGGATGAGAATGAAGAAGGGGAGTAGCTGCGGCAAGGCGGCACTCGCGAACAGCGCGCAAACCTCAAGGGAACGTCATTCATGATCGCATTCGAGGCGCCCGGGTTGGCCGCGTGGGGCTGTCAGGAAGACGACGAGGCCCAATCTCGAGATCTGACGCAAGCGCCCGCCGCAAGCAACCAACGAAAACAGGGCCGTCAAAGAGGCCTCGGAAGAAATCCGCTGACCCCCTGGAGGTTCATCGGCGTGTGGGATGTTTCCCCCTTCCCAGACCCCTCCCCCGGGAGCCTGGTCCGATCGATTTGGAGGGAGGGTGCCCCCCAGGGATCCGGGTGAACGCACCCGCGGGGGCACAGGGCCCCGAAACAGGCCAAGAGGGCCCCAAGAGGCCCTTGGGGCGGTCCACGAGGGCCACGAGTCCCTGCAATATCGATCCAAAACGCCCACGTTGGCCTCCAGACGACCCAAGAGGCCCCAAAGACGCCCCAAGAAGCTCCCAAGATGCATCCCAAGAGGGCCTCCAGAAGCGAAATCGCTCCATTCCCTTTGGAAAACGTGCATTTTTAGCACATTCGCCTCTTGGGCGTTCACAGCGTCCCAGACGCCCCAAGAGACCCTCAAGTTCGCCACAAGACGGGCAAAGACGCCCCCAAGAGGGCTCCAAGAGGGCTCAAGAGGGCCCCAAGACGGCCCAAGACGCCCCCAAGACGGCCCAGGAGGGCCCCAGGACATCCCCAAGAGGGGGCCCAGAGGGGGGACATTTCGAGTCATCCACCCCAAGACGCCTCTGGGTTGCCCCACAAAGCCCCCAACAGGCTTCCAGAGAGCCCCAAGATGGCAGCCCCCAAGAGGCCCCCAGGAGACCCCCAAGAGATTCAAAACTGCCTCCGAGACGCCCCCGAGACGCCTCCCACGAGACCCCATGAGGCTCCGGCGCGTCCCGCCGGGGTCCCCGGAAGGACCTCAATCTGGGAACAAATCCTCCATGACGGCTCAAGATGGCGCCAAGACAGCCACGTTGGCCCAAGATAGCCTCCAAGATGGCCTCCAAGTTCGCCCAGGATGGTCCAAGACGGCCTCCAAGACGGCCCAAGAGTCCAAGACGGCCCAAGAGGCCCCCCAGAGGCCTCCAAGACGGCCCAAGAGGCCTCCAAGAGGTCCTCCAGGAGGGCCCGAAGAGGCCAAAATCATTGATTTTCCATATGTTCTTGAAGGTTCTTGGCATTCGCTTCTTCTTGGCTTTCCGACGACCCAAGACGGACCAAGAGGCCCCCAAGATCGTCCCCACAGCGCCCAAGAGGCCTACTATATGCTTCTTTTCGGTTTTCCGACGGCCCGATGCGGCCCAAGAGCCCCCAAAGATCGCCCAAGACGCCTCCAAGATGGCCCCAGAACGGCCCAAGAGGCCCCCAAGACGGCACCAAGAGGCCCCCAAGACGGCCCAGGAGGCTTTTAAGACGCCCAAGATGGCCTCCAAAACAGCCCTGGAGCATTCCAAGAGGGCCCAAGTCGGCTCAGAGAGGCCCCCCAAACGGCTTCTGACGGCGTCGGACGGACCAAGGGCCCACCAAGACGGCCGAAGATGGTACTAAGATGGTACTAAGATGGCCCAAGACGGCCCAAGAGGCCTCCAAGAGGGCCTCCAGAGGCCCGAAAAGGCTAAACTCATTGATTTCCCACAAGAGTTTTTGAAGGATTGTGGCATGTGCCTTTTTTCTGCCTTCCGACGGCCCGAAACGGCCCAAGTGCCCCCAAAGATCGCCTAAGAGGCCCAAGAGGCCCAAGACGGCCCCAAGAGGCCCCCAAGACGGCCTAAGAGGTCTTCAAGACACTCAAGATGGCGTCCAAGACGGCCCAAGAGCCCTCCAAGACGTCCTCCAAAGAGGCCCGAAAAGGGTCAAAAGGGCCTCCAGGCGGCCAAGATTACCTTCAAGATGCCCACGTGTTCCCCGAAGGCTGTCCAAACCGATTCGGGGAATACATGATCCGATAGCTTGGCAGGTCTGGCCTCAACGTTCGGCCACACAGGCGCTTCCAAAAAGGCAGGGGGCGTAGGTGATTTGCCGTAGGCGTTTTCGATAATCATACGTCGTGTGCTTTGACAGATGCCCGCCGTCTGTATACGTGGGTTCTCGCCCGTTTCCCCATGCGTGCACGGCGGATATTGAAAAATGCCAGCCCGAGAGGCTCCGAAAAGGCCCCCAAGAAACCCCCTATGAAGCCCCAGAAGAGTCTCAAGAAACCCACACAAGGCGCACAAGAGGCCCTCAGGAACAACACGCAACAACCGCCAGTTCCCCAAGGTGTCGGCTGCGTGGCGAATCCCAAGGATCAGCGAACTCTCGTGCCGCATGCATCTTTCGATGTCTCCCCCCATGCTCAATGTTGGCGGCGGGTCTGATGACTTGCAGTTCGACCGTGGTCTTCCCCGCGCGTGCCAACTTTGAGTTTGGGGAAAAAAAAGGAGTTGCCCATTGATTGTTCCCCTCTACTCCCGTCAAAGAGCGTCAGCAGACCCGCGCGGTGCTGACTAGCACACAGTGGAGGCCAGTCCACAAGAAACCTTCCACAAGAAGGCCAACCCTGAGACCCCAGGACGTGACGTCCATCGATGTTTGGCGTGGGAACGTCGCGTTTTCAATGGCAAACCCAGCGAAACCCAAGAAACCCACGGCACCTTGGAGGCAAGCAGGGCGTTTTTTGGCATGGTTTTCCAATGTAAGGCATGAGCCTGCGCATGGTGCGCGCCGCGTGCACCGCGTGCATGCTGTCTGTCGCGCCCGGGTTGCCTCTGGCGCGTGCAGCCGCCAGGCCTGCCCCCTTGGTGGGCTGCCGCCCTGGGCCCAGGGCCGATCGCACGCAGAAGGTCGACGCAGCATGCGGTCACTCGCGTGGCCTGTGACCGCGGCCCCTCGTGTTCCGTGCGCCTTCCTCGTGGCCTCCCTTCGCAAGCTCACTGGTGGGATTCGGGGACCTGGCCTGCAGCCCAAGCCCATAGTGAGGATGCAGCGAAGGGTGCGCGATCCCAGGGAACCTCATTCACCGCGCAGAACTCCCCGGACGTCACCATTGGCCCGGGATGGGCCGAGAAATCAGGAACGCGATGGTAACCTTGATGAAACGACGCGTCTCTCCTGTGGATTTCGACCGCAAGTGCCCACGGCCCCGACGCCGCCCCCGGTGGGACTTTAAGAGCGACTTCGCGTGCCAGGGGCCGCGGCCTCTCGCATCCCCTGAAGGGTGCAAGGGGGGGTCGGGCGCAGGGTCCCGGTGATGGTGTCTTTGTGGGCCATGCATGGGCGATACATCCTCGATTGTTGTGTTCGGCGGGGGAACCACTTGGAGCTCCCCGCCTGCGCCCATGGGCGGGACTTGAGGGTGAACGAGGCAACGGGGCGGGGGGCTCGGGAAATGCGACGAAGGCAGCGTGCGCTGAGGGCGCAAAACAAAGGGTTGAATCGATGAAAGCGGTTATGTGAGTGTCAACGTCTGCCCAGCCAATCTGACATGCGGAACACTGCGCCTCAGTTTTGGGGATCTTGAAGGCCAGGGCAAAACGTGAACTCACATTGTGGGGAAAAGAAAAATGTGAATTCACATTTTGGGAAAAGAAAAATGTCAATTCACATTCGGAAAAAGAAAGAACATGTGAATTCACATTTTGGGAGGATCGCGGGGCCCATTCCAAATCTGTCTTTGGGGTCGACAAGTCATCGTGTGGGAACATACGCGATCATCAATCGCACAATCAAGACACACTTGCACTCCACTTCGCCGCCCCACGCGCAATGTGCAAGAACGCCCGCACGCATGAACGATAATGGATGGACGGTGCGTTTGCGCCCGCGCGGGCAACGCGCGGGCATGAACGACTGGCCCTCCATGACCGCCAACATTGGATGCCAATCGTACTCGATCGCATACATGAGCGATACATTGAGCATACATGGGCCATTGAGCCCCCATTGAAGACTCTGTTGCAGACCCCCTCTGTCGCCCTCGAAATCCCGCGGCTCTCCTCCTCCCTCCCCCCCTTGCCTCCTCGATCCTCCCCCCTGCTCCGCGAATATCCAGGAAGATCGAGGATTGAGGAGGAGTGTCGAGGATCGAAAAACGAGCACCTTGCAGTTCAGGGCTGAAGTGACGGGGGCATTCCCGAGTGCATGTGAACTAGAGCTGTTTCTTCAAATTAGAAGGTCGGGCGATCTGGTGATCCGGTGATCCGGCCGAGAGATCTGGTGAACCAGTGGTCTGGTGATCCTGCCGGGTGATCCAACGATCCTGTGATCCCGCCGGGTGATCTGGTGATCCGGTCCAAGTGATCCAAAAATCCGGCGATCCTGCCGAGTGGTCCAAAAATCCGGTGATCCTGCTGGGTGATCCAAAAATCCGATGATCTAACCGGATGATCCTTCCGGTTGATCCAATGATCCGGTGATCAAATGATCCGGCCGGGTGATCCGGTGATCCGGCCGGGTGATCCAAT